TGGAAAGAAGGACGCTGAATTTCCTTTTAGTAGTAAAGTCAAGTTCAAACTTAGACAAGGTAGTGATGTTTTGTTTTGCTTAAAATAATCTGCATGATAAGACTAAACGTCTTTGCGGTGTCTGGATTTTACTGGAATGAAAGATGTGTCAGATAAATTCAATTTTTCATGATTCAATAAACCCAAAACCTTTTGCAGTTTTTGCATTAAACAACGTCAATTATTCACATAGAAGGCGCCAGTGGGTGTAGGCTTCACCGCTGTCGCATGATCACTCCACAAAACAATTCTTCTGTCTTAGACATGCTAGAAAAGCGGTAAACATCTCTCAGGCTCATAAAAAGTGGGTCAAATGGCATAAAAGTACTGATTGTGAGATCTTGTTAATGCAAATGCAATGACCCAACCCAGTATTTTACTAAAAAGCCAAAATTAATATTAATTTTTATGTCGTATCATAAAGGCGAGGTATTATCTCTTTAAAAGCATTCCAACTCGCCATCTTCCTTCAACAGTAGACACATATTAAATTTGTGAATTTCACCTTTTAAAGAAAATTATAGTTCGGATACATTTGTGGTTTAGTAGGAAAATTTCTAGTAGGCAGTAAAGCTGGTTGGTGGTGTTGTAGCACAACCAATCTTCCCTGAAGTTGCAAAATGCCATGGGTGAGTGGGGGAAGATGCATTACTGGTGCACAGAGGATCTGAAGCCGTTGGCATGGCCAAGAGACCAAGGCGCCGAGCAAAAGTACAATAGCAGAGCGTTAAGTGCCCGCGTAGCCAAAAACCATGGCTGCACAAACAAGCAATGGGGAAGGGTGCCATTGTGAATGATTTAGAAGCTGGGAGTTAACAGCATAGGTGACCTAGAATGTCCAAAAAGATGAGTGTCTTTTGCCTTACTATGCAAGGAAATCCACCTGGGGAATTTAAATTATTCCTATTTATCAGATTATGAGGAGGCTTGTGCGGCGATCGGTAAAGAGAAGAGCCTGTAAAAAAGTACAATCAGTGTACCTTAGATATGCTCCAGTCTATGCTCGGTTCCCCTTCTATTATAAAATATTCTAGGGACACAACTGATGGGAATTATGATTGCCTACCTTTTAAATTAAGTTTGCCTCGATGCTAGAGAAGTCGCAATATAATTTTGCAAATCTACTTCTTTCAATTGATGTTGGAAAACAATGATTACTGCCCATCACAGGTAGTAATTTACAAGTGGTGCATTATTCAGTGGGTTAAAGAGGTGACCATCAGATTGAGGGATTTTGAAGTCCAGTATTATCTGTAAACACTTGTGATATCCACCTGCTTAGAGGATGCCACCACCTTCTCATATAAATGAGGTGGAAACGAATAGGCGAGCAGCCGTCTTAAACTAACCCCCTGATCTAATAGAGAATAGCGTGGTTTTCCGGTATCGTGATACATGTACCAACTACAGTTGCTTACATTCTCATCAAAAATATTTCTGTCTCGGAGTTCCAGAGGTTTCCATTTGGTTCTTTTTCTTTAATATTCTAGAGACATAGAACAGCCCTCCCGTTGATTTCCTTTTGATTGGTCAATACGACGTGGACATCACCTTGAATGTCAAGGTTGAGAGCAATCGAATTGGTATGAATTGCACACGAATGGAAAGAATGAAGGTAATAGAGAAAATGAAACCACTTAGGTCCTTCAACACTAACACTCCAGCAGGCAGACGTGTACACATGCGCCATAATCCTAGCTCACTCCAAATGTCAGCATTAGAATGCTTTCTCTCACCTCTCAATCTTTTCGGGGTTTTGTACATCGTCATCCACACTGCTCATAGTAGCCCGTAATGCTACCTTGGAGTAAATCATCACTAGAGTTAGATTAGTAATTTAAATGCTTTCTTGAAGGGTGCGTTTTGCTACCACACCTTTATAGCCTCGACATCGAGTTAAACTCCTGTCATATAGCAGACAAGGTGGAATCGCACCAGATTCAATTGAATTTAGGGAACTGTAATGTTGAGCACAGCCCTGTTCCACTGTACATTCAAACTGCAGACTGGCCTTCACAATCCCTTTCCTTTTACAATAAGCCCCAGTGATGAGCTATGCCCGAAGTCAGAAATCGAGTGAGTGCGAAAGTCAGACCGTCAATCGCATTAACTAGAGACACTTAAACCCGGTAAGTAGACCGCGTTCCGAATTGAAGGAGGAACGGGCATGTCTCTAATACTGCATCATTTACCAAAGCATACAGGCCTTAGAATTCGCGCCATTAGAATTCCTCTCATTTTCGTGTATTCTTAACCGCCACAAAGCAGAAAATCACCATTTGTTCTACCTAACTGTTCCATTTGAAATGAGGTGGTTGGATGTGGTCCCTTTACACATTCACGGGATAAAATCTGCCATCATAGGCACTCAAAGGTTTCACTGCTCTTCAAAAATCGGTGAATCACATATGTGTAACACCAGTGGCGAGTTATTCAAATGACCGCCTTACAGGTATAACCTTTCAAAATACGTGTTCACCATGAACTGCTGATCTTTTGCCCCCTAAAATGCTTCAATTTGCCTATTCCTTACTAAATCAGTCATTGAGTCCACGTCTACTCTCCCATGTCACTGTTG